CGATTTACGTATAATAAAGTCTCAAAAACATTAAGCAACTGTGGGCGCTTTTGTAGCCTTTCGTCACTTTGCTGTCAGTGCTCAGTACTTCCCCACTTCTAGTGCAATAATTATAAATTCGGCAGACTCAATTTGCAGTTATCCAGTCGTTGATATTCCTACTAAACGATCCGGAACCGGAGCGGCCATTGCGCCAGCAAATTGCCGAACAAATCTACAAGGTACCGTTTTACTGACGCGGTGCTTCCGGCATCGCAGAATCCTCTGGTTCCCATATGTTTCTTTAAACAGCTGTGTTTTTAGGATAAACAAGCATTCATGAGAGAAGCCATTGAGCAGACCAGGAAGAATGCCGAGAAAAGACCGAAGTGAGGCAGCACGCTGGCTTTTGCCACACACGCACAGATCCTTCACTGTTATTCGCTTTCTTGGAGATTAAATTTGTAAAAAAAAATTAAAAGGCAAAAACAGTAAAAAATGTTTGTCGCACATTATCTTCCTTCGTGTTACTCCAGCGGTGAATGCCTCTCAATTCCTTGAATGGAAGCCTTTCATTAATACGCCCTCAACGCGTAGCAGACCAGTCTGTGCGATCATGCGTTTTGCGCAATTCAGCCCACCGAACAATTGCCTATTAATGATTTTCACTGCTTTGTACTTTTGTCTATGAAAAAATAGTTCGAAAATTGGAAAATAGTTAAAAATTTCACGTACCAGCGCATGAAAGCTGAATTCGAGACCTTGAAGGGTGAATATCATCCTGTGATTCTCGAGTTAATAGTTTAACCGCCAAAATTCTCACGAGGCCGTAGGTAATACTCAACATCGAGGGAACGCTGAATTTGAATAGGCAAGGTTGAGCGTGGGCAGGAGGTCACTACCCTAAAATTTCAAACATAGACCCGGTGGTTCCTGAGATATTAATTTACCCGTAAAAAACTTTCACGGGGCCATACATGTTACCCGCGGGTACGGGGAAGGCTGAATTTAAATTTGCCGCGTCACCCGTTGGCGGGGAACAATACACCAAAAATTTCAGTCGCCTAGCTTTTGTGATTCCCGAGTTGAAAATGCGGGACAAAATGTGGGACACACACACGCGCGCGCACACGCGCACACACACACACACACACACACACAGACAACCCCGTGACAATACGCGTTTTGTAACGCTGTTATATAGCACAAAACACATAATAAATGAAAGCCTAGTTTGTATTTGGAGCATGTATTCTAAAGACTCCGGAAGGCATGGCACAGCGCGGTAGCACTACTGCCGTGCAGTAGATCGAGGGTGCGACTTCGCCGGTCAGACAACTAATCCTTCTACGATTCGTTTCAATGGTAAACTGGTGGTGGCATATGTGGGTACTCAAAACCATCATCCAGTCTTCTTGTAAGAAACATCAGAGAAATTTACTAAGAATTTTTTTTTTACTAATGAATTTTTAACAAATTTAAAGGGTTTTTTACTTCTTTGATGTAGGGCTATATGATGAACCGAATTATGAACAGACTTTTTTTTTTGAAGGCAAACGCGTAATTATTGTAGTAAAAACGAATCCAAATAATTATGTATATCTCAATTTGATCCTCATAGTACGTGTTGAACAGAAACTTCATGCTCGAGCTTATTCTTCAGTTCATATATTCGCCATTCGCCTAATCTGTTGCACGCACGCTGCATGAGTATGGAAGCAGCTCAA